TATATATAATTTATGTTATATTTAGCAATTAATAATTCATTTAACAAATAACAACGTAAATAATATTATTGTCTTAACTAATGGTACGATTACTTTTCGGACATTGTGTAATGTTGTATATGAGGCAATTAAAGACGTCATCAATAACGATATCTCTGACGATTTAAACGCATTGTTATCAAAACTAACAGAAGAATTAAAGAATTTATATATTCGGTAAAATTTTTTTTCCATTTATCTTACGATTTTCGAGATTACTGTTTTTATAATATGATTATGTTCTCAGACCCATATGTGGAATACGAAACAAGAAACTTATTATTAATATGTACGGCCCTTTATGCGAAAATGCGATAATGAGTTTAATGACAAATGTTACCTTGATACTAAAAATAGTACATTTAATGAATGTGCAAGATGAAAAAATGTGTAGCATCAAGAATGATGATACTTTGGATAAGGCGTTTAACACTAACAATAACAATGATAATTCTGATAAAGTGTCTTTGCATTCTACCTCTGAGAATGAAACGGTAAAATATCTTTCACGCTTGAGGAAAATAAAGTAAATTTTCAGACTGCAAATACATGAATAATAATTGACTCTCTGTGCAGAAAAATATATTAATACAAAATCTATCCGAGAGAATTTATAAGAGACAAAAGCAAACTGTTATGATGTCGGTAAAAGATGCATTACGTACAATGGACAATGTATTAGACGATGAGTATGAAGACAAGATAGAAATCGTGGAGACGAATAATGCTTATGGCAGGGTATTGGTTGATAATATAGTATCCTCTGCAGACGTGCCATTTTATAATACTTCGACTAAACACGGATACGCAGTATTGGTCAGCGATGGAAAGAGTACAAGAAGAGTACTGAAACACTTCATGGTAAAGATTATCGAATTCTGAATTAATGAGTAATGACTCGACCGATTTCGGTAAAACGGATATTATTATTATATTTTCTACATTATATAAAAAAGAAGTATTAGAAATCATTGTCAATAAATTGTGCAGTAGAAAATTTTGCAGAAAATAATTCTATTGATTGAATTATGTTTATTTTTATCAATGTGTAGATTAAATTTAATTTCAATTTAATTTACTCTTTCCCTTTTTCTCTAAAAATAAAGAAAAAAAAAACAGTTAACGGAACCAAAATTGAAATTAAACTATATTGATAGAAACGAGCATTAGGCGTCAATTAAATTTAATTTTAATTTTAATTTCAAATTTAATTTCAATTTCAGTTTAATTAACTGTTTATTTTTTTCTAGTTTTTCTTCTCTTTTCTAAGAAATAGAGAAAGAAAGAAAAAGTAAATCTAGTTTGAAACTAGATTTTTATAAAATATTGCTTCTTTTCCAGTTCGCAGAGATTTCGATTGTACCTGGCACTTGCGTGCGAGTAAGAAGTGGAGATCCCATACCCAATGGTAAAAATAATTACAACTATAAATTACATTGATTTACTTATAATGAAGGATTAATTACTGGTTTTATCTACGATTGCAGGAGTAACGGCGGTTGTAACGCTAGCGAATACAAAGATATTGAAAGAATGTAGCGACGATGATGACGATTATTTTAATATCAACGACAAGGAATATGAAATTGAAGTTTTAGTAGCCCCGGAAAAAAACGAAAATATTAGGTATACAAAAGCAGTCAGTTATTGTTTTCTATGTTTCTCAAAGCACGCTTTGTTCTATTAACACAAAACAATTTATTTATTTTCGAAGATACGCTGGCTGCGAGATAAAATGCAGAGACAGCGTTTTACAGGGTTTCACTCGTATCGGAACGGTAGAATTGGGCATTTTGAAATTATGTGGCATAAATTCAGTTTCAGTCATGCGAATTCCATCTGTAGGTCTGCTGTCTATCGGAGATAAATTGGAAGAGCCTGGGTACACTTCAACTTTAAAACGTATCTACGATTGTAATAGTATAACTCTAATCTCGTTATTGAAAGAAAATGGTTACAATCCCGTAGATTTAGGAATTTCAGCTTATCAGTAAGTACAACCAAAATTTATTGATTTCAGCTATAAAATACGATTTAATTTACGAATAATTAATACCATAGCTCTTAATTAATTTAACGATCACATTTTCTTGCAGGTTAAAAGCCATTATCAAAAATATTGAATACGCTTTGGACAAAGTAAACCTACTTGTGATAATGGGACATGCAAACGATAATGATTTATTAAAGCCTATCTTAAGAGAATATTTTAAGGCTGTTATACATTTTGGTATATCGTTTCTTTTCATTTTAACAGTATATGCTATAGTGTGACATGTCTTTTTGTTCAAGCATTGGTCTTTTTGCCTTAGGTCGCGTGGAGATGAAACCAGGAAAATCAACAACATTCGCAACATGCATTTTCAATCACAAATTAAAGTTTTTCCTATGCATGTCGGCAAACCCAGCAACAATTCCCATTGTCGCGCATATATTCCTTCTGCCATTTTTGAACGGGATGGACTTCGAGGACCAGGCTTATGAACCCAAGCCTAACATACAGACTTGCGTAAGACGTCTCTTCTTGCATTCCACATACGGGAAAAGACATACTCACTAATACGTCATATCACTGTCGTTACAGATAATGACAACGCATGAGCTGCATCGTCGTCCAACATTTTCATGGACAACCTTACACTGGTCAGAGAAGGAAACGTTTCCAAGGACTCTCTGTTCAAAAAAACAACATCAGAACATATTGAAATATCAAGAAGCTAATGCGCTTCTAATGCTACCGCAGCGTACGTCGTATGAGTCGAAAATAGACGCGGCATTCGTATCAGCGATGTTTCTCGGCTGAAAAGTCTTCAAGATATTCCTAATCAATCAGCAGAACAAATATTTGCATACATTTAAGTTATTGTTCAGCCATGTTATTAAATTATAATTAATTATTAAGAATGCACCGGATATCAAATATCGGATATTTGGACAGAATATAATATCGGATATCCGGTATTCGTTGGATATCCGGAAAGGCAAATTTTCAAATCGAATATCTGATATTTTCTGGATATCCGACCGGATTCCGGAGTGCCTTCTATCAGATTTATTTTCTTATCGATTTTCTGGATATTCGATTAAATATCCGATATCCGCTATTCGGTAATTTTACGATCCCGTGCATCCCTATAATAAAATACTATAGTATTATAAGTATGTGTACTTATTTGTAGTGATAATAAAAAATCATATAAAATTACATGTACATTTCAAATGGATATATTGTATATACCCGGATATTAATGATATCTGACTATCCAGTCGTATAGTGAAAAAAATGCTTGATAATACTGAATACTGAATTTCTCTAATAATTACAATTATAATGATATAATCAGGCATGTATTTGAAATACTTTTATTTGGAAAACAGTATTTGTAAGACAAGGTAACAAATTTCATGCATGTATAAATATGTATAATCATATATAAAATATGATATACATATTCATATACTCATTCTTCTTTTGTAAAATTACTTTTCAGTATAATAGAAATAGTAATAGTAATGTGTGAAAACATAAAAAAGACTTATAAAGGGATAATTTTTGCATTGTTCATTTTAGAAAAAAACAAATTTGGAAAATAATTGGTCATTAATTACAATTATGTATATACTTTATATATAATTATACATAAGTAATTTTGTTAGATTTTTACAAAGATTTTTACTTGATTTTTTTTTACAACAAAAAGTGTGAAAATTTTGATTGTTTTTTATTATTTTTATTATTTTTACATTACTATTATTATTTCCATTATACAGAAAAGTAATTTTACAAAAGAGAGATGTATGAACACGTATGTATATATTTCACATATGATTATGAATATTATTATTTTATACATGTTTATGAATATTTATGTATATTTATACATATTTATACATATTCATGCATAAAAAATTTTTGTCGAAAATTGTATTTTATATTTTGTATTTCAGTGGGACACAAAAATATTTTACATATTTCATGAGAGTATATAAAAGTATTTTGTATTTTGTATTTTATATTGCAAATACTATATTTAAAGTAAAAGTCAAATATTATATTATATCCAGCTCTGGATATAATTATACTTCTAATTGCATATTATTGAATTATAATTTATTGAATTATAATTTATTTTTAGTACATTTATTTTATATGCAAATTATTACATCTCATTTATATTAAAGATCGACTGTCTCAAGGCGCTAGTTTGGTTGTGTAACGTCCTAAAAGAAAAACAAACCGAAATAAATTGCTACATGTATCTCTATACAGTTTTATTTTTTAGTTTTCCTTTAAAAATATAATAATTTCATAATCCTGGAATACGTAAAATATATAGTAAATTGAGAAATTTGCCGATATGTTACGTAAAAGCGTAAAATAATTCCTGAAATAATAGTAGGTACATTTCTTAGTTGTTAAAAATCGCTGCGATAGCGCTGCGGCATATCACAATCTTATATTAGAAATATTTTAAAAGGAGAAACAATATAAACACGGCTTTTAAAGTTTAATAACTTTATCGAATAAACAAGTAAAACCAGCTAGCGAACGAGATGATCGAAATCAAATATAGAAGACGAAAACAATGAAAGTTTCACTGTCACGAGATTTATAAGGAAATTTGCAAGAGATTAAAATGGCTCTGAACGTTATCATTTTAATAAGTATGTATATTTATCTTACAAAATATATGTATACTTTTTAATGTTTAAAAATAAATCTTAAAATACAAAACAAAATATTTCATCGCGCACATATTATTCAAATTTTTTGAAATTTCATATGCATGTATATACACACACACGCACGCGCGCGCGCGCGCGTCTTACACACATATATCTTTGACTATTAGTAATTTTGAGTAATATTGATTCAAATCGTATACTTTTTAAAAGTATCTTAATAATTTTATTCTAATTACTTATATAGTAGGGCAAAACAGCAGTATTGAATCATCAATTGTCGATCAAGCTGATTTAAAACGCAGTATAAACTTTGTAGGAGAATTGGCTTCCATCGAATTTTCGAAATGTGATAAGAAGGAAGTAAAGGTAATTTCTACAGATATAGTTTTTTTTAAATATCTTTTCTCACGCATCTATTGTATAATTATGTTACATATAGGAAAAATTAATTTCATTGACCGATCAGAATAAAGGTAATGTTATTATCTTAATTGGCGAAATTTCTGTTGTGAACAACGTTGTATATGAGGCAATTGAAGAAATCATTGATAAAAATATTTCCAAGGATCTAACTACGTTAATATCAAGCCTAAGAGAGGAACTAACGTATTCATTTAATCGGTAAAATTTTATTTTTATTCATCCTACTTTTTGAGATTACTGCTTTTACAACATAACTGTATGTTCTCAGACCTATATGTGGAATACGAAAGGACAAATTTATTATTAGTATATGTGATTCCAATGTGATTGCAAATACGATGATAAATCTTGAGATACATGAATCCTATGCATCCTTGATATTCCCAATAATGCGCTTGATGCATATTGTACAAGATAAAAAAATTGATAATACCGAAAATCGTGGTCCTGATGAGGCGTTTTGTAATAATAGTAATAATGATATTTCTGATAAGTCGTTATCTTTGCAATACGTCCCCAGAAAAAAAAACGATGAAATACTTTCCACTGTAGAATACCTTCCTCACTCGAAAGAACAAGGCAAATTTCTACAAAATGTACGCACGAATGATCACGTCGCAAGTGAATATCAACAGAAAAATATGTTAATAACGGAGAGGATTTATAAGAAACAAAGGAATCAATTTATGTTGCCAGTGAAAAAAGCATTAAAAATAATACGTCTTATAGTATACAAATACCATCTCGCAAAAGAAGAAAATGTGCAAATAAAAGATGCTTACGGTAGGATACTGGCAAATAAAATATGTTCCTCTGTAAATGTGCCGCTTTATAACATTTCTGCTAAACATGGATACGCGGTATTAGCCAGCGACGGGAAGGGCATAAGAAGAGTATTGAAAGCACATCCCACGGTAAGGTTGACCCGTGATTAACAAACGGTGACTCGCATTTTGACCGTTAATATTAGGATTATTAATTTTTTTATGTTGCCTGAAACATGAAAAGAAATATTAGAGATCATGGGAGGTTATAATTGTACAATTAGAAATTTTGCAGAAAGCAATTCTGCCGATTGAATTAATTATAAGTTAGTCAGAAAATTCAGTCGTCCGTCAAGCTAAATCTTTATAAGACTCCGTTTCTTTTCCAGTTCGCAGAGATTTCGATCATACCTGGCATTTGCGTGCGTGTAAGAAGTGGAGATCCCATACCCAATGGTAAAAACAATACAACTGCAAATTACTCTTCTAATAATGAAGGATTAATTACTGCTTTTATACATGATTGCAGGAGCAACGGCAGTTGTAACATTAGAGAATACAAAGATATTGGAAGAATGCATCTATAATGACGACGATTATTTTAATATCGACGACAAAGAATATCAAATTGAAGTTTTAGTAACCCCGAAAAAAAACGAGAATATTAGGTATACAAAAGCAGATTAGAGCATTTTATTGTTTCATATACTTTTCAAAGTACGTTTTGTTCCGTTATCACAAAGTAATTCATTTATTTTCGAAGAAACGCTGGTTGCGAGATGCAACGCACTCAATGCATTTGCAATAAATTCACTCGTATCGGATCAGCGGAACTGGGCATTTTGACATTATGTGGTATAAATTCAGTTCCAGTCATTCAAATTCCATCTGTAGGTCTGCTATCTATCAGTAGCGAATTGAAAAAGCCTGGAAACGCTTCAATTCTAGGACGCATCCACGACTGCAATAAGATAATTGTATCCTCGTTATTGAAGAAGAATAATTATGATCCGGTGAACTTAGGAATTTCTGCTCACAAGTAAATATAATCGAGATTTATTGCGATTCTTCTAATCACCGTAAGACACGATTTGGTTTATGAATTATTAACGTGATTACAGCTCTTAATTAATTTAACGTTCTCGTAGATTGGACGATATGGTCAATAAAATAAAAAATGCTTTAGACAAAGTGGATATACTCGTAATAATGGGCCGTACAAATGACAAAGATCTATTGAAGCCTATCTTAAAGAAATATTTTAACGCAATGATATATTTCGGTATTTTTTCTTATATTAATCATTGATTAATGTCCTATGATAACACATTTTTTGCTTAAGGATTCTTTTTTTTAGGTTGCGTGAAGATGAAACCAGGAAAATCGACAATATTTGCAACGTGCACGTTCAAAGATAAAATAAAGTTTTTGCTATGCATGTCGGCAAACCCCACAACTGTCCCCGTTGTCACGCATGTATTGCTTCTGCCATTTCTGAACGAAATGTATCGCAGTTACTTGACGAAACCCATTAACATACAGGCTTGCGTAAGACTTGTCTTCTTGCATCCGTATATAGGAAGAAACGTATTCATTAATACTTACTGTTACATCTTTATAGATAAATACAAAGCATGAGCTGCATTCGCGTCCGAAATTTTTCTGGACGACATTACGCTGGACGGAGACAGAAATGTTTCCAAGAGCTTACTGCTTGCAAAATCAACATCAAAATATAATGAACTATCAAAAAGGTAATGCGCTTCTAATGTTGCCACAATGTTTGCCAAATCAGTCGATATTAGATGCAACATTCGTACCAACGATGTTTCTCGGCTGAAAAATCTCCAAGGTATTCAACTAATAAGACATTCGCATACATTTGCGTTATTTAGTTATATATATTATTCAATTGTAATTATGACTAAGCTGTTACATTTAAACTACATTTTAATTAAGATCTAAATGAAGTAATTACGCTGTGTATAAAAAAAAAACAAATGTATAAGCAAAATATACAATTGGCACACAAGAAGAAATCATTTTATCGGTAATTATATCGTTTCATACATTGATAAATACGAAGAAAATTTTTTTTTTAGAAAAAATATCGAGATATCGAGTGTTATTTAAGTTATTTTCTATCTCTATTATTTCACAATTTAATTGTATAAATCTCGCGCAAACTAGAGTTCTATTAAAAACCTATTTAAATTATTTATTTTAAATTTGAAATAATTTCCTTTTTTAAATTGAAGAATACAATTGATTTTTGTTCATTTTTACTTTCATTATGTAATTTATAAGAAATCATTTTAAAATAATTTATACAAATTTTAATTTTTTGGAATTATATATATTACATATAATATATATAATATATATAATCTATAAGTAGAAAAGAATATTACATATAATATTCTTTTCTACTTATAGATTGTAATAGTAATATTTTTTATATATACATATATATATATATATATATTATATATACATATATATATGTATATATGTATTGTATACATACATATGTATGTATGTATATTGTCTTAATATTTTTTTTTTAAATAAATTTTCTAGAAAATTTATATTTCCTATCAATTTTATGTGAATGTATATACTATCTTATCACATAAGTTAATTTCATATTATGTGATATTATAACAGTAATGTTGATAAAATTTTCTTAATGCCAATGAATATTTTTTATGATTCTGAAATAATTTGATGTAAAATAGTTGTAGATCTTAATATATAGTAAATAATGTAAATGTATAGATATTAAATATGTACTAAACTAATTTCAATGAATAAATTTTAGCAAAAATGGCAAAAAAAACAGAGTTAAATTTTCCCATTCGGTTCGATTTATTTTTTTTCACAAAGAAGACAAATTGTTTGATTCATATTTATATATGATAGAAATATATATGATAATTAATATTTAAAATTAGTTATCATATAAAAAAATATAAGTTTTATTCATTATAATAAGGCTAGAGAACGCTGTTTGTCGAACAATATACATTGCAACTCTAATCTAAACGTAAATGATGATCATAAAAATAGTAATATTACGAATACATGAAAATAAATATTGCTAGTTATATATGATCAAATTAAATTTTGAAATAAATCTGAAAATGCTTACCTAAATATTTTATGAAATTAGCGAATTACAGATTTATACTTGAATAATATTTCATTAATAATCTATTTATGTATTTTATATAATTTACATGTTGCATTTATTTTTCAACTATGTACTATGTATCTATGAAAAATATGTATAATTATACGAAGAGAAAATGACAGTAAAAATATGTATATTTGCCAAAGTCAAAATGAAAGTATAAAGAGTATTCCATTCTGCTCTCAATTTCACAGCAAACGTTTTATGTATAGATTTTTATGAATTTCAATGTATTTAAAAATTCTGAAACATACGTTCATAATAAGACTGATGAAATCATGATCCAATATTTCTGCACACATAAACTCATTAAATGACAATAAAAATATAAAAACAATGCATATTTATGGATATTAAAAATATATTGATCCTAAATAATGATTGTAATAAATATCAAAGCTGATATTTCAAAATCCTTAATACTTATAGAAAGAAGAAAAAAAGAGAGAATTTAGAAAATAAATCTAAAATATAAAAAAATTCTTATATCTTTGTATAAAATTCAAAATTTTTATGTACGCTTTTATAACTTTATTCTGTTAAATGATTTACTAAAAAAATTATGTGATCATTATAATTACTTCCTATACACTTAATGAACTTAAACTTATGTACAAGAAAATTGCACATAATTATCTAATTGAAATTCTAAATATT